AGGGGGTACAACCCGTTACTAGCGTGGTGTACCTAATAAAGTGGCCGGTGAGTGTAATTAAATGTCCTGCTATTGTTGAAGGATTTATTGTCGCTGCGGTATTTTATGTCAAAGTTTTAGACTAAGATCATCTTATGCTGAGAAATGACTAGTTATAAATATTTTGGTAAAAGCTTAAAAACAACATTGTGCTCAATCCCGACTGAGAGAGATTATGTGAAACATGTTAGAGAATGTGTTGAGCTACTGCCACATACAACTTGATTACTCAATTCAAAAAGTTAGTTTATAGATTTGAAGATTAATTTCTGAGAGTTTTATTAAAATCTGCCCAGTAATTCATGGAAAGTTTTAATAACCAACAGTGTTGAGTGATCAGCTACTGCTTTACCAAATGTTAGCTCAATATGCACACAGACATGATTATAACTACCTTCTTGTCTTCAGTGGCAACATTAAGCTTTCTAGTGAATGTTTTAACGAAATGTTTGTCTTTTCTTTCTTAAAAGAGTTTGTTCATAAATGAAATTTGATGAAACTTTTACAATAAAATAAAGCAAATAAAAATGTAGATAGAAAAGTGTAGGTTTTTCTGTCATCAGCAGACTGATAAAACTGGTGAGAAGAAGTGATGAGTAGATAAGTAACTGTACGTTTTGTCAACAGCTGCAGGAGGAGCTGATGAAGATGGACCGGACCAGTTCTCACCTGAAACTCACTGTCTCCGATCTGAGGCTCCAACTGAAGAACAAAGACAAAGAACTGTGCAAGGAGATGCAGAAAGTCAGCACACACACACACACAAACACACATTACACACACGTTTGTTTCTCGACCTCGTGGGGACCTTCCATTGACTTCCATTCATGTTTTTTAGACTTTAAATCCTAATCCTCACCATATACTCTAAAATTAACCTCACAGAAACTTACCTGACCCTAAAACTAACCTAAACCTTGGTCCTAAACCTAACCCCACACCTGCAACATGCATTTGGACCCGTGGGGACCTGACAGTGGTCCCCACGATTCACTTCGGTCCCAACCTGGCTGCTTTTTTTTGTAAAAAAAATACCCCACGTTTGTTAGGAATTTCAGGCAGGAAAGAACCCATGTCGCAGGCAGATTAAAAGGCTCCAAAAAACAAAGTATTTATTCAACAAAAGGTGCTGACTGGGCAGCTCAAAGAAACTCAGAAAAACGTGGCAAGGCCAGACTAGGCAAAGAACGAACTACAACCAACATAACCAAACAAATAATGACTCGACAGGGAAGTGAAGACAAGAGACAGAATATAAAGGTGAAACTAATGAGCACAAACAGGGAACACCTGGGGGAGAAACATGAGGATCAGGTGTGAGTAGGCGGGGCTGGAGCACAG